TAACAAATTGGTATTTCCATGACTCCTATTCAGAGCATATACTGTTGTGGTTATTTTGGTTCCCTGACAATAAAACAATAATAATATTACCTTGACAAGCTGGTTGAGTGTGGCAAAGTGAATAGAACTATTACAGAGGGTCTCACTGGTGCTGGCCCCCATTTGCTACATTCTCTTCTGTCACCTCCAAGGATGTAGTTTTTTTTTAAAGAGCCGCCTGGGAATGTGTTTGCTTTTTTACTGGAACATACAGCCAGATTATATGGGAATTACACACAGATTTCATGGTTGGGAAGTAAAATGGAAGGGAAATTTGCATTCAAATTCCCCTCTATTTAGTTCCTAACCATGACATGTGAGTATAGGAGCAAAAGAATGACAAACAACAACAGCTACAACTGTACAATTTTCTGAGGATGAAAAAATGGATCCAGATTGTCATTTCTGCAGCTCTGAAAAATAGGAAAATCAAAATGGCAAACAAAAATGGGTAGTGGTCCGACACAAGATGGGTTCTGCTGCAGCAGATACTGTGCTACCTGCTGGATACTGAGGGAAAAGGGAGAGAACATCCCACGGTGGTCCCATTTACCTTTCAGAAGCACCACGGGATGTTCCATGAACAACCAATCCACCATGGCTTATTTACATGGTGGCTTAGAGTTAGATGTGTACAGTGGGCTTCATGTTTCAGCACTTTCCCTCAAACGTCTAGAAATTAATTCTCATGATGGGCATTGGAAGCTTCTTGCAGTGCACACCTATATAAACCTGGAAACAAGAGAGACACTGCTTCCCTCCCATTTTCCTTCCCCCATTGCCATCCCACCCAGACAGCTGGTACAGCTTAATGTGCTTGAGTCATAGTTATTCTGTAACTAATACAACTGGAGTTCTGTTCAGGCATTCAGGAGAATGTGTGGGAGCTTAAAGTGTGGAGTCATGTGGGGTACTATATGCTGCCCCAATCCCTCAGTTTACACCTTTCCATGTTGTACCAGCAAGATCTGAAATGGAGTTCTATTCGCATTTGCTTCCACACAAGTATACAACTTTCAGCATGACCACAGACCCTGCCTTATTACAATTCCCAGTCCCATAAAGAGTTCTATTTGCCTATGACACATGGTAAGCTTATAGCATGGAAGCAGCCTTTGCCATGAGAATTAATGGCATCTTCTCTTTGACACACGATGCCGTAAGCCCCTTTGCAAAAATGCTCCCATTAAATGTCAAATACCACAGCGTCTTTCTGTCCATCTCTAAGACGCATCACATCTCTCTTCACTCTTGGGAGGGGAAGTGATAAATGAGATGTAAGTAGGAATAATGGATGTGAAAGAGTATTTTTGTTCTCCCGCCTACAAGACTTTCCCACCTAGCGGCACTCAGCTCTATTCCACCGCAAGAAAAATCATTTATTGCTGGCAGCTGAACAAACCCATCAAATGGTTCCAGGCTACATCTATACTGCATCTTGCTCACAGCTGGTTTGCAACAAGTCCCCCTTTAATAGTCTCCCTCTGTGACTCTCTTCAGGGGTGACCAAGGCTGATCATGAGCTCCTGTGTTCCTTACCATGCTAACAGCCTCCATGGACAGAGAAGGTGCTCCTTTCAGGCAGTCAGGCAGATACCTCTCAGGCATCATACGAAGCGGATGATGGAAACGTGCAAAGAACAGGTACAGCACCCTCCCCATCCTCATGTGTTTAACTTGTCCAGAAAAGAAATACCTAAAGAGGGCTTCAGTGTCATTCACGTTTGTTTTTTATTCTCAGGTGATTTGATTAATACTCCACCTTTCTACCAGGAAATTGCATGCAAGTCAGTTTTACATCTTGAACATGAAAAAAATGTGAAAATTTGTTAATTCTTATCAAAATGAAACTGAATGTCCTGCCCACATTACAGTAAGGTGATACTTTCATTAGCAGTGTACTTTCTCAAATGAAATTGATCAGGGCTCAAGCTTGCTTAAAGCCATGTTCTTGGGGTCTGAAGTCTCGTCACCAAAGGTGGGATGTGTGGGGGCTGGCTCTAGCTATTCATTGGAGGCTATTCAGAAAGCAATCCCTTCTCACACCCTTTAGTAGGATTCACTTTATTATTACGTAGTCGGTTACTGGGCTGGGATCTGAAAGTGAAAACAGATTCAGGGGCTGAGTGCTGGCCCAAATTATGATGTGTTTCCATTGTAAGAGAGCACTGCCCTTTAAATTAAAGTAATAACACTACCATCTCTGAACAGGATGCCTGATTCTTGGCAGCTTATTTTGATAAGGGATTGGAAAGAGGTCATATTCAGGGCAAAGACTTCCCACATATACTTTCTCTGGCAAGCATTAAAAAAAACACCCTACAATGCAGACAACTGGAGAACAGGAGTAAGGCCAGTATTTTGTGTCTGCTGCTTTAACTAATATATTCATTGTAACCCAAAAGACTAGCAGAAAAATCAAGACAAAATAAGAGAGATATTTAAATAATCTGAAAATGGATTAGCTAGGTTGAAAAGTTTTCCAGCCCAATAGTGTATGCATTTACTTAGAAGGAAGACCTTCCTTGTAAGTTCAAGAGGGGCTTACTTCCAATGTCCATTTTTTCCCACACCATCTTTCCTCAGCCCTAATCTCATGTCTTAACTTTTATTGTCAGAGTGCAACCCTATGCATATTTAGACAGAAAAAAAGATTCCTAAATTTTAGGAATCTTGGATTACTTTCTTCCCACATCACTATAGTTAGAATTTTTCACTAAATAAATCATTCTTAAGGTGATTATATCTAGGGAAGGATACACAAGATTGTAACATAACAGCGCAATGCTATGCATAGCATCTCACTTCTACTGAGTTCAGTAAGACTGAGTCTGGGGCAAGACTTTATCTGCATTATTTTTTTCAGTTCTGCTGTAAATATATTTTGCTATCTGAAAGTTACAATTGCTGACTGTAACAATGACTACATTGTTTGTATTTGGTTTGGAAATGTTTTTGCTTCCTTCAACAAAAACAAGCAGGATGATATTCTATGAACTAATAAAAAACAATAATTACATAAAATGTCACAGTACGAACAGCATGAGCATTTTCCTTGCTGTGACATTTCATGTTTGGATTTCATTGAAAAAATCGTGTAAAAGTATATTTACAAGCCTGCATTTGAGCAGACAGAACTTTTCTTCTCTGCTGAGATGTCTTTGCTATAAGGGATGCAGGTTATAGCGCCGATATTACATTTTGATTAAATTGCATTTGCAACTCTCAAACATGGAATGTGTCTCTGAAGGGGTGAAGGAAGAGAGTTTCCTGATGACAAGCAGTTGCAGAGGCTTATGCTCCTCAGCTACAACAGTAACACCTATCTATGAAAAGAAATACATACATAGTGAGCAATTCAGTAGCAGGGTACTTCCAGATAAAATGCTGCCAGGACTACAAATCAAAAGCCACCGGGTGTACTTGCTTTGCCTTTTCTTTGTCAATTGTTTTTGTGCGTGTTCTGTTTTTAGTGGAAGGAAAAAAGCAGTTTCCTTCCACCAAAAACAGAACACACACAAAAACTGGTGTGTGGTGTGGGAGGCTACAAATCAAAGCTGATAACACCTGGGGCCCCTGTAAAATCTGGTGAACAAAGTGGGGACATTACACACTAAACGCCTTGCTTGGGAGCCCCCTCAGTTCCTTGGATGACACACATTTGTTCTCAAGTATTCTGTATCCAAGTGCAAAAGTCTGCACTGTATTTCCTAGTCTTGGTACAGAAAACAGTAGAGGATCAACAGTTTGTTCAGAAGAAAGGCTGCAGTCAAACATATTTTAAGGTAAAACCTTTTCTTCTTTTTTTAGGTGACTCAGTGTATTGTTTTTGTTCTACCTCAAAAGAGCATTTTAACACTGCTGCTCAGCCTCTCATAAGAAACCATTCCTAAGGCATGCTGAGCTCCAACTTGCTGAATGGGGTGGGACGGTGGCAGGGAGGCTGTCTAACATGCCCTCCTGTAGATGATGATCCTTCTATGAAATAAGCTGATGCCAGTATATGATGGTACCAGAAGAGATCAGGAGGATTCAAAGCAGACCAAGCTAAAAGTGATCATAAGGCAAGAAGGCAATCAAGCGAACTGACACAACATGCAGTCTTAAAAAGCAAGGGAAAAAACAACCATCCACACCCTTGCACTCTTCTCAACCCAAAATAATTCCACCTTGTGAATCCACAGGTCACCAGGACACCCAAGGACATCCTCCTTACCAAGCACCTATTCAAAAACCCTACTCAAAAATAAATGCCATTTCATTCAATGGCGTATACTTGTACTTAACAAGGCTGAGCCTTGCACCCTAACATCTTGATGCCAGGCCAACGGGAGAGCACGTCCTCCTTCGGCTTGGTGCCACCTGCCTCCGATGTTTTGGCCCCAAGTCCCTAACGGTTGGCCACACTGTCGGGGGCTGCCTGGAGGGAGGCCCTCGGGGGTCCCAAGCGGGACCAGCCGGTCAAGTGGGGGTAACGCAGGAATCGGCCTCATCCCAGAAGGCTCGTTGTATTGCACAATGCCAAGACGTGCAGCACGCGAAGCAACTCCAAGCTGGGAAAGGGCCACTTTCTTGTTCCAAAGATCACCGGCTGTCCTCAAGCCACATCAGCCAGCAGGTACTTCACGCTCCTTAGACGGCTCACTTTTCCTCCGCACGCCGCAGCGCATCTACTGGACAGGCGCGGTGCTTTTGCAGAACTTACTACAGCGCTCATTCCTCTCCAGGAGCAAGCATTTAAATACAGACGGAGCAAACTAGTCGCGCAACAAAGCGATCCCTTCCTTCAAGGGTGCGCACAAAGAGCTCGGAGCCTGGCTCAACTTTCCCCGCCCCACCGGGTGACTTCTTGGAGAAGTGTGTCGCCTAATAGGGTGAGGAGACGGCGAAGGGCTGTTTGCTTGGCCAAGGGTCTCCCCCGCCCCGCCCCGCCCCGGGTCTTCGGGCCGACGCTCCCTGACCTGAGATGCCTCCCCCGATCACGACCACATCGTGGCTGGCGTTCATGGTGCCGCTTGTGCTGCCCCTTCGCGCCGGCAGGTCCCTCACCAACCGCCGCTCGCCAGACTCGCTAGCGCGCCCCTGGCTCCTTCCCCCGAACTAGCAGGGCTGCCAATCAGGCGCAGCAGCAGCAGCAGCAGCGAGCAGCAGCAGCAGCAGGAAACTTCCCGCAGGGTCTCCCCTCCGCGCGCTCCGCCCCCGCGTCGCCGCCAATCACGGCGGCCACAGGGGCTGCGAGGACGGGTCCTGCCCGGGCGAGGCGACGGCCGGGAGCGCGCTGCTCGGGCGGGGCGGCCTGTCACTCACGCGGCTCCCCGGGGAGCCACATCCAACCAAGCGGAAGGCTCTCCCGCTGGCCCGTGTCGGTAGGCAGCGCCGCCCGCCCGCCCCCTGCTCGCGTTGGGCGGGCAGGTGGAGCAAAGGGCAGGTTCCTGCGGGCGCTCCGCAGGAGGGCGCCGGGCACGGGAACCCTCGCCTTGATTCATTCGCTGGTCGGCGCAAGGTGGATTCGGGAGAGGGCCGGGTAGGAATGCAGCAGGAGTGGAAGCGCCGGGCTTATTCTGAGGTGCAGCTGCTTGCATTTTATGCAGTTGTAAAAAGAAGTGCCGCGCAAACTTTCAGCTTTTCATTACTTACCATTAGAAACACTCTGGAAAGGGCTCGCGCACTGGGGATGGAGGGAGAGCCACATAGACTTCTCGCGCAGAGGAAAACTGCTTAAATTTAACTCTGTGTAGTGGTACAGATACTGCAGGCAATCCATTTTCATCCATGAAAAGCAAAATCAGGTGTGCGTATGCCCATGCCTTCCACCTAGGAATCTCCATTACAACTCCCATCATCTGCAGCTAGCACAGGTACTATGGCTCACTAATGTCCAATCCAAATGGGGCTGGGTGCAGGGACGGGTGCAGCTTTCTCCCAGCTGATGCCAACCAGATGTGGCTCCCATAATCCCTGATCTCTGCCTAGGCAGTAATCATGGTTGCCTTTCACAAGGTGGGGTTCAATAAACCTTACATTAGGTTGAAAGGATGCTAAGAAGACTTGTGTAATGCTTCTTCATGTAAATTGCTAACAGAATGCCAGTGGTATGCAAGCTGACCAGGTTCCCTTACCTCACAGCTGGTGTGGGGAGAGATATTTCTAACTAATAGGTGAATATGGTATTTAACCTTGCTTTCCACCATTGAAAGTCAGAATCAGCTTAAGTTCCCATCCTGTTGCATTTAATCTGCAAACTAGAGTCAGTATATAAACCGTATATCAAAGTTAGACAGCTTCTGTCAATGTTTGCTGCATCAAATTTTTCCCATAGCTTTGTTCTCAAAATCATATCAGATGCCAACTTAAAGTTGATAAAGGCTGCATAAAGAGCCTCCCCTGATGTTCTAGTGCATTTCTCAGCAAGATGCTGGAGAAGAAACCCAGATTTATACATGATCTCCTAGCCCTAAATCCTGCTTGTTTACCAGCTATAATATTTTCTAGTTTGTTTGTTTGAAGCATTTTTATCCAGTTCTTTACAGGATCCTCAGGACAGCAACACATCCAGCAAATTAATTTTCATGGAAGTCAACGGAATACAGTTTACTAACAATGCTTAATAGGTGAATAGATTTATAGTTTGATGGATCCAATCTTTTTCCTTTCTTGTCTATTATGATAATTATCGCAAGCACCCACTCTGCTGAGAAGCATCCTGACCAGTCAACATGTATAAATAGGACTGTCAGGACAAGTATCCACCAGTCAATATTAGATTTTAGGAAGGATTTTATTAGTAATAATACTTTGCTAAATTTAATTTGTGAGATCAATTTAATGACATCACATATGAAGACAGGACTTATTGCAATGTTGAGAGAATTGCCCACTTGCCTACAGGGCATTAAAGTGCCGTTCCCAAATATTTGTGGGAATAAAATACTCACGACTTACTGTGATACTATGCCAGCCACTAAGGACCACTCTCCAGAAAGTAGCTGAGGCTCCCATCTTAAGGGCATCTGTTAGGCACTGCCATGCCTCCCTTTGGGCTTGCTTCTTTTTCTCCTGATCAAAACTTCATATCTTCTTTTTTGCTCAAACTATTTCTTAGGAAGCTCAGGAAGGTTCAAATCCCTATATGACATATTTTTCTCCTAAACAGTGTTTCATATTGATGCACTCATGGTTGAACCAAATTTTAGACCTGTTAGAGAAAATTGTGTGCCACCCTTTTGGGGCTTCAGGCAGTTTTGAAAGGTATCAATCAGGGTTTGAAATAATTTTACTGTTGTCTGAGAAGAATTTTCATTTAACAAACCATCTTAAAAAATTGAAACTTCTTTCTGAATATAAGGATTTGATACTGCTTTCTGTAGTTTCAGGAGGGATATTATTAGTGACTAGTACTTTGCTAAATTTAATTTGTGAGATTAGTTTAGCTGACCACCTAATATGTTGGGCACAAATTTCTGTGTCAGTATTTAATGTGGGGACATGGTTAATATGTGGGATGAAGTTTCCCTAATTCAAGGATAAAGATATCAGAAGAGATTATCACTTTCATCCTGATTACCCACTGTACAGCTGGTTCAACTAGTTGTAGGAGACAGTAGTAATATTGTCAATTGCTGGTGAACCTGAGCAAGATCGATAGGTGAATACTCCTGGCCTACCACCTTCAATCAATCATATGCCTTGTCAGCACTATTTTGCTCACAGTACTCTGGATGCTTTGGCAGATGACTCACCATAGCCAATGGGGGCATGTGATTTTCAAAAACTCTTGAAACTAAAATTCCATTGTACATAAATTCTTCTTTTTGGCTAAGTATCAGATTAACCAGGCCCTAGTCCATGGGTCCTCAAACTATGGCCCACGGGCTGGATCCGGCCCGCCATGCCCATTTATCTGGCCTGCCTCGGAGGTTTTGGACTCACTGTGCGTGGGTGCGCGGCGAGGCGCCAGCTTGCTCAGGCGGAGATTGTTTTGGACTCGCTCGGAGAAAACGATCTCCATGAGAGCAAGCCGCTGCTTCGTCCTGTGTGTTCCCCACCTCGCCATGTGCACCCCCTGCCCTCGCCCCCTCACTGGCCTGCGCCCCCCCGCCAGCACCGCCTTGGCGGCCTGCACCTTTGAACTGGCCCCCTGTTGAAGAAGTTTGAGGACCCCTGCCCTAGACTTTCAAAGTGATAACTGCACAAGCCTCTCTATAGTTAAAATACAAGTGTTCCACACGGGTTATATCATGGGATGGTGTAGCATAGTGTCCCGCACTAGCAGGGGACTGGACTGGATGGCCTTCTTGGCTCTTTGACCTATCTTTTCTGTGATTCTATGATCCATGGTACACAGATTGCAGTAAACCTTATCTAATATTTGAATAAGACTTGTGTTCCTTTTGATATAAAAAGTCTCTGCACTTAGGAAAATTTGAAAGGACTGGTTTATACTGGTTCAGGACAAGATTCCAGAACTTTCCATTTTAAATCAAGGAAATTGTTTTTGTGCCAGTACTATAGTGCAAGGCTTTGGCTATTGCAAATATGGGTCTGATCAGAAGAATCATGTGGAGGGTCTGAGGCAATGTCCGCTGTGTTTTCTAACTCAATATCTGGGACTAGCCTCTGACTGGAGAACAATGATAATCGACAAGATTGCACATCCATTATCTTTCGGGACTCTGCACATAGTTTAAGCTTGTTCTTAGTATTGTTTGGGGACTTTGATCCAACTTCCACACTTTCAATCTTCTCAATGAGATTGGAAAGTTTACTAAATTGCATTTTTGTGATTTAAACTTTGCTGTTTAAATATTTTTACTCTTTTTTACTGTATCTGTCAAAAAGACAAATACTTTATTTTTATTTCTTGCTTAACACATCAGGAGCATTACTATTCATCACCTTTGCCTTATTTGGACTCAGTAGTGATATGAGATTATTGCATTTCTGCACTGCATTTTTATTTCCATATCCTAGTGTCGTGCCTGAAGCCCCGACAGAGGCAGCACCTCATGAGGAGGTCTTGTGCTTGGGACCCTGTACCCAAATGCCAACCCCACAACCTAGCTTGGGGGTGGCTGAGCAGATAGCTGGACCTCACCCTGACTCCCCGCCCATTGAGCGAACACCCGAGCCCACATCAAAGCAAAAGAGCCCCGAGGGAAAAGGCACTACGAGTTCTGCTCAGAAAGAGTTAGAGCAGACTGTCCCTCCCCCTACTGACGCTGAACTTCCTGAACACGACAAAGGAGACGCAGGGGGCGTGATAGACTTTTCCCTAGCAACCAATCGCAGAATTTTGAGGAGGTGCGAGCAAAGGCAGGCCTTGTTATGCCAGAGGGAAGAAAGGCGGGGCCAGGAGAGCTGGTCCCACCTGGGCTCGGCGGGGGCGGGGGGGGGGACGCCACTAAAGGATTAGCATCTGCATTGCAAAGACCTCAACAGTAGAGCTTATCTATAGAGTTGTAAATCTTGTAGACAAGGACTTTAGTTTTATTGCTCGTGAACTTGTGGGTTGTTTACATGTTGAGTTGCACCTCAACACCTAGGACAATAGATTTAGGGGCTTTAACAAGTAATGTTAAAAGATCATTTACACTGAGAGAGAAAGGATTTAATATGAGCCAAATCTTGTGATAAAAGGAAAAGCCAGCCTTAGTTTCAGTAGTTAGAGCATTTTGGCTAGACACATAGTTCTTCTTTCTTTGTTCACCCTCTGTTGGCCTCTCACTCATCAAGCATCAAGTTATTTGATTCAATTAACGCTTTCTCTTTCTCAAGCAAATGAAACTGTTCCTGTAATACTGTAGTTTCCCAAAGCCAGCTCTGCAGCCAGGCTTAGGGAATGAGTGTCCTCCACCTAATTTTCATGCAGTTCCCCTTTTAAGTTCCAAAGACCAGTCTAAGATGGCCTCTAAAGGAGTAGAGATTTTTTTCAGCCATTACTTTCTCTTCAATTTTTTTCTTCCTAACTGTGAAAAATTGTGTGGTTTTTGGATTGACCGCTCAGAGCTCTCTGACCTTCTGGTGCATTGCTCTCAAAATTAGGTGGAGTGTCTCAGTCTTTACATGCTTTTCTAGTGCGCACAACTGCTTTTCACAGGTGGCTCTTCAAACTAACAGTGCATAGTTAAAACAAGCCCTTCTCCA